TTGTACTTAGATTATTCGCAGCTTTATGGGAGGCAATGCGTTCTGCTTGAAGATCTGTGACCCCAAGGGCTCGAACCCTGCCGGATACTGCCAGCACATCTACGATCGTATTGGATGCTCGTACAACGCGCCTTCGTCGAACCAGGCCGGTACCTTTGAAAAGTGCGACTCCGACAGCATGGAGCTTCCGGGTCAATATGTGTCCAACGGCCAGACGGTGACTTACTACCAGCCCCCCGAGTCTCTTGGCCCTATCACCACTGTCCCGTACACTGTCTCGATTCCGAAGAGCTCCAACTGCGTCCAGTACCAGTCTAATGATCTGTATGCGGCTGCCGTAAGTACTTGATCCGTCAAATAACCGAGGACGTGTGCTCACATATCTTATCACATAGTCCACTTCGGCCGCTTCGAGCTCGGCTGCTACTGCCACTGGTACTGCTGCGCAATCGGGTAGCGCTTCCCACTCGGGTTCTGCCTCGGCTTCGCGCACCAACGGTGCATCGAGCACTGCCAGCTCCAACGCCTCGATGCGCAATGTACAACAGGGCGTTGCTGTCCCGGCTATGCTGCTTGCTGGTCTCGTCGGATTCGGAGGTCTCTTGGGTGCGGTGGCCGTCCTCTAAAATTTCATCCACATTTCACGACACGATAGCTACACATTTTTCGCGGGTTTTGATTATATCGCATCTCTTTGTTTAGTATTTCTCTCTAACACGGACCATTTTCCTCTTTGTCTCTCGAGTTGCAGACGTTGTGCATGGTCATCGTTTTTTTTAGATGCTGGACTTGACGATTTGTGCTCTAGTGATATACACTCATTTGACCTATACCTCTCTGTCTATTTCATGGATTGCTGGATAATATGCTGGTGTGATTTACGTTGCGAGATGTGCGTGTGTTCCTGCAGGTTTATCTTTCTGTGAGACATGAGGCGTGACGTACAACCTTGCTAGATTTCGTCAACATGCCAGCCCACGGCGCCGGCAATCAAACACGCTAAGCAACGCGTAGTATTTATAGAATTCGCCAAGACAACCAATAATCGCAATCACGTGTAGCCGGGCCGTTTATTTAATTCAATCAAAAAGGCCGAAATGACTGATGGGCGCATATACGCTACTCATTTCCTGCTCCAGCCACATCGTCGTCGGTCCCGTCTGCTCCATCGGCCTCGGCTCGCTGAAGGAGTTGAACAACTTCTTGTTGGGCTATGGATGAAGTAACCTCGTCGTCTGGGTTCGAGTCGGGATTCCAAGGGAACGGTGCGCCTTTCCATCCGCCCGAGTGGTAGATGTAGTATAGGAATCGACGCCAGAGACGGTCCAGCCCCAGAACCATTGGATCGCCGATTATGATCAGAAGTGCTTGGGCGCGGGTGATGGCGACTGATATAAACGATGTGAATATATTGTTGTGTTTTTGGAAGGGTTGCACGAACCGTTCAGCCTACGCCTGTTTGCGACAAATCCGAGAGTGTGTTTGACGTCGAATGATAAAAATTCTTGGTTGCTACGGACTGTGGATAGGATTATCACTTGACGTTCCTAAGGTTCTGTGAGAACGATTGTAAATTGTGGCAAGATATATGCGTTGCTTGCCTGTCCTTGGAAGTTTTCGACGCTCCCAATGTCGATGTCGGTAATATTAATTTCTCGTAGGAGTTGTCGGATCTTGCGTACTTGAGCGCGGTAGGGTGTAACTATTCCGATTTGCCTTGTTGTTGCTATGTCTAGAGTTAGTGAATTGTTGAAGAAGTATCATATAATGTTATACCCATGAGCGGCAGGAGGCCTTGTACGTATTCTTTCACAAGCGAAGCCTCATGTGGGTTAAAGAACGACGGGGAGGTCGCCTCTCGCATGTCTTCCCCTGTGATGGACAATAAATCAGCGTCGAGTGGTACAAATAGCATCGTCAGATGTACCAGCAATAGCTTCGAACACGACCGGAAAGTTTTGCGTCCCAAGTCGATTCCAGTTGAGAAAGACGTCTGTAATATTTGCAGGAGCGCGGGGCACGAGTTCGTTTCCGTAAAACTGTTCGTTGGGAAACGAAAGAATCGATGGGTGGCTTCGGAAATTCTTCAGCAGCTTGGCAACTCTAGAAAGCAAGATTTGCATCAGCATATAGGCTAAAATAGGTGATAATGAGCGTACGAAATTCCTCGCATTGTAACTTCGTCGTAGGCGGGTAGCGACATGAGTCGCTCTAAATAACTTGTGCTCATTCCGAGCCGACGAGCGACTGGAGAGCGAATTACTGGACCCAACTGCTTGGGCTGAAGAGAAGCGAATTGAGTGTCAAAGAATGGTCAATTAGAATGATCTAAAACTGCGAACTTACATCGCCACTCAGGATGACATTCGTATCGCGACTCGAAAGATTTAATATCGGGATCATAACCTCTGGTTCGCCAGCTTGTCCGGCCTCGTCAACAAAAATGTGGGTGAAATGACCCGGATCGATCCCCTGGGCATAGACAAGCGCGGCAGAGGAGCAGGTGCATACAACCACTCGGAATGAACGCAATTTATCTAGAGCCGGGACTTCAAAGCCACGAGCGTTGTGGTGAAGCGAGTATTCTACGAGGTCTTCTGGTAACTCAATACGGGGACGCCAAATAGCGTTTAGTCGAAAAAGCTCCGCAGGAGTAAGACCACGAGTATTTATCAAGCGTTGGGCGATGAGATCACTCGCAGAGTTACTTGGAGCGCATGCCAGGATTTGAACAGATGGTTTATCGAGAAGCTGGGCAATACATTCCACAATTGTCATCGTTTTTCCTGTACCGGGCCTATTGGATCGCATTTGAGTCGATTGTATTAGTTAAAGCGAAGAGAGAACGCACGGGCCAAATATTATAAATGGAGAACTACCCGAGGGAAGGTTAGTGACGCGCTTGACAGCTTGAAGTTGCTCCTCGTTCGTATTGACCAGATGGTTGTAAGTGTTATCCATTGGATCAACCTCGTCCCCTGGCGCATTCCCCAGGTTCAAGTTCTCTGCGGTCGGAAGTATAATGTCGATACGAGGTGAAGGAGTTTTGACTGCCTGGAGCATTCGCCAGAAAGGTACCGGGTTAAGAAGAAATTCGACATCATATAGCGCCCTGTCATTATGGGGAAATGATGGATGGAAGGATATTCGAACAGCTGATTGCAAGACTTCGTGGACTTTCCCTTTGAACCAAACACCTTCCTCTCGATCATGAGGATGAATGTTGATCCTGTCCCCTTTGAGGACTGATGGTCTGTATACGCAGTTAGCTAAGTCTTTTCTAGCTCATTGTGCGCACCTTTTTTCAGCTAACCCCGGGACCTCCAATCTAGATGATACTGAGCATTTCGTATTATTTGTTCATGACCTTCACTCACTCGTATAAGCGACCTTGATTGATCAGGCTGACGTCGTCCATGTCAAAGTTCCTCAGGTCGATTCTACGAAATGAGAAGGTGAGGGTGGCATAAAGGGCTTGAACAATACGCAACTCACTCTGCTTGAAGATGTTCTGCGTGAACCAAGCTTGACCAGTATTGGCTATAAGATTGTTCGTTTAGTGTTTCTGGCATAAACCTATCCCTAAAGCTTTCGAGCTGTTGCTCCAAGGTACCGGTGCTAAGGATCTGCCTGATACCATCTGGTATATTGTAAGCTTCCAGTTTCCTCGAATACCGCACAGCTGGGGCAGTTTCCTCTTCGACTTCAATGACTCGCAATCTGGTGCCCCGTTGGCGGGCTTGGGTGGGTCGTGTATATGGTGTAGCAGGTACTAGTGCCACGAGATCGTTGTTCCCAACTGTTGCTTTGACCGGGCGCGTAATAACAAACGAACTGTTATCGGGCTTTCTGAAGACTAATTCAAGGCGATCTTCGAACCTCCCCCGTTGACCGTGAGGATTAAAATGGACCTGTACAGCGACGCTGCTGCCTTGCCTAATAGCCACAGGCAGGGCAATAGTAGAGACCGTGAAGCTGTGCATTTTGAGAAGTCAGCGGAAAAATGCCGGCACAAAAAGCGAACACACCATAGAAGTCGGCCGGGGAGGACCCCTAAAGCGGACGAAGTTCGTGCTTGGATCAAAGATACCTGAGATAATCCCGTATACGAAGCCCAAAGTATCACCGGTTCGCCAGTTGCATGTAGAGGTCGCAGCCCCAGGTCCACTCCTTCCTCATCACCGGACAACTCAACGCCATTTTGATTTCGCTGAGTCAATGCTACCGCATTCAGATAATTGAAAACCAGCAGACGGCTAGCATGTTGACTAGAGCGGCAGTGCTGGCTGAACACTGCTGATTGTACGGCCGTATTGCACGCCTCACACCTGGTTGTGTTTGGCGGAGCCTGGCTTTCTTGAAAGGCTGTCCCGGTCCCAGCCAACTGGGAGATTTTGGAGATATGTCCACGAGATCTCTCATGGCTCGTCTGTTCAGCACTGCTGGACCTGTAGTAGCGGTTACATGGTATGCAATGCAGCCATTGAGAATTCGCTTCGTTTTGTGTATGTATTTGGGTTTGGATGTGCGCATTATATTGAGCTGCGGATGTGAGCGCAACGTGACAAGATGAACAAAAGTTGGAAGTATCGTGAGAATGCTGGCACGGATTCCTGACGCAATAACCCTGGTTGAGAAGGACAGGACATATTGTAGCCATTTTGCCACAAGCAGAAAGAGATCGTCGAGGTGAAGCTGGATAAGCGGCTAGAATACAGGTTCGATCGCAGCAGGATGGTGAGGCACAGGAGGGGGCTGGAAAGAGTTTCGGTGGCGAAAGTTTCTGCCTGATGACCAAAGTGGCAAGTCCGCGATGGTGCCGATAGCCACGAGTGTTGATCTTGTCACATACGTCAACCGCGGGATCCTCGGAGAATCGTCTTCGCTTAGCGCTTACGAGTGGCTGGCTATAGACCCAACAAAAAATCATTTCATACCTGCCTAGCTTACGGTTACGGGCGGATCGACTCCTTCGATTCGAAACAACATTAGCACACCAAGCCCCGCTAGCTCAATCGGTAGAGCGTGAGACTTTTACGAAGCTTTCCTGGCAAGTTTACAATACTACCATGGAACACCATGTGCACGATTCTGGTCATCTCAAGGCTGCGGGTTCGAGCCCCGCGTGGGGCTTTCAAGTTTGGGAGCTAAACTTCTGGCTTATTTTTTCCCCGAGTTTAAAAGGTAATTTTCGGAGGATTAGCCAAGCATGTACACCGGAGAACTGGGACGTGTGCGAAGTTTGATGACGTCCGCTAAATTTTATATTCATTGCTTGCCACGCTTCGTATCTGAAGTACCGGCATCTGGTTGTTTGGGTTCCGGACTGCAATTTCGGAGGCAAATGCCTGATCTAACCAATAAAATCAGCCACCCAATCCTTCCGCACTGGTAGTCAACAGCCTGTACATAACTCCTTGGCCGATTTGGCAATCCACTACGATTGTTGATCAACAGACTAGTACGCCTTTGCACAACAGTTGCTTCAAGAGCTGGATTTTGGTTACACGGCCAATCGAGCAAGGCTTGTCATTTATACTAGTACACAGAGGGACCAAAATTAGTTTACAATACCGAAAAGAAACATTTCACTGGTTCGCAGTGCAACTGTAGCACAAACAGACGTGCGCTATTCATAATAGATAATACAGTTTCACAGATCATACTAGAACAAAAGCATCGGGAAAGGGCTATAAATGTAATCATGGTATCCATTCATGTTTGCCATCCGGTCATGTTTTCTGGAGCCAGATGTTGACGGCTTGACTCTGAGGCACTTGATCGGTGGATTTGTCGCGTTTCTTGACCGGCGTGCCGCGTCTCTTTAATGTAGCGAGGATCATGAGGACCCAATTGACCGTCGGATGTAAGCAATAAAATCGATGGGCGAATCCAAATGGTGAGTAGCACATTTATCAAGCCCATCAAGTAAAATGTGACGCTGAAAACCATAGATGGTGGGTTCATGCGTGGATTGGAGAGCAAGGAAGGGTTGGCGAAAGCAGCCCAGCGCATGATGGACAACGGCAGGATGCAAAGAGTATAAGCCAAAGGATAACTAATGAAGTAAGATTATTAGCTACTAAAGCGCACTACCATGGTAACTATCTTACTAGAGCATCTTGGAAGGCATATCGCTCGAGCGATCAAAGGCAAGCCTTCCGCTGGCGGGATCTGCCTCAAACGCCTTCAAAATCTGTTTCCTGTTTTTTCGAAGAATCAGGTAGGAAGGGAAATAGAAGCAAATCGTCCCGAGTCCAGCAACCCAAAGCCTGAGTCAAAACTTGATATTAGCCCTCGTAAAATCGATTGAATGTATTCGCATATTCGCACCATAGATATTCGGCGACTATGCGATCTTTCATGTATCGCCCGTTAATCCAACACCCTACGTGTGAACATCAGCACAAGCAGCATGACTAAAACCAATTCAGAAGCGTGCTTACACCAGGGGGTTGGTGTGTAGTAGATTCTTGCTCCGTCACTATCAGGCTCTTGCCCCGAGTGGACCGCCATAGGTATAAGCCCCCATAGAATTACCCAAAGCCACATCGCAGCAATGGCAGCCAGGCAATACCATGGTCGATACTCTGGCCGACGATTCGTATAAATCACGAAAAACGTGTATAATGTGACCAGTATAGTTGCAAATGCAACGGCAGTTTCGCCAATCGTCTGGATAGCCCCTTGGGCGTTACACATGGGTCCGCAATAGACCTGTCGACGATGAGCCCAATAGATGTTGGGTATCGACCCAATCGACATCCATATGTCAGCAAATATCAAGTTAAGCTGTTCGCAAGGGTTAGAGACGGTAACGAACTATTTCTGAACTCGCAACAAACCATTAGAATGTCTATATTGCCTCGGAACAAGCGCCAAGGTCCCGGAGGTGGCTTGATGATGTTGCGTCGATAGTTGCGCTGCACACCCAAATAGTCAGTAAATCAATGTGCGAATCAGAACGAAATGATTCAGACAATAATGGTGCCGACGAGTAACAACAGTGCGATGAGGGATACCAGACCAGCCTCTGCCTGAAACTATTTTAACCACCTTGTCAGTGTCTCCAAGCATGGCAAATAACAAACGGGCATACAGCAAGGCCCACAACTGCACTCGTATCCAAGCATACATTGCTCGGATTCTCTTGCGTATCATTATAAAGTTTGTAGTTGACGGAACAATCTACAGGCCCGGAGAGGTGTAGTGTACTATCAGACATCGTGGGAGAGTGGATACAGTATGTCCGTTGTGTCTTGGTTAATATATGCCTACTATCGCTTCTGATCGCGAGAATCAAGCGCCCGTCAGTGGTCCATATTGGGTAGCAGACGTAACTCAAATTGCTGGACGAAGTTGTTTAGGAGGCTGTTAAGGCTATCCTTATCTCCCGTTCGCGTGGCCATTCTTCCTAGCAACCAAGGAGTGCATCTGATGCACCTTTGCCACGGTGCCTAAAAGCCTAACATGTAGATCAACTTGTCTACTCGACAAATGAATCCCTAAGCTTGCCCGGGCTCGGCGGTGTAAGGCGGTGCTTATCTCGGTCATTGAGTAAAAAGCGCCGAGATGCATACACCCAGAAGTGATTGTTGCCAGCGGATATATTTGCCACCACAAAATTCACATATTGTACGTACAGCCGTAAATGCGTTACCCAGAGTACACAGATGGTCCAGGGAATGTATAAGAAGTCGGTGGAGGGTTATAGCTATGCATATGTTTGAGCTCCACAGTACGACTGCGGTCAGATGAAAAGCCACCCACATGTTAATAGTGATACCAGGATCAGAGCCTTTGTACGCCCCGGGGAAGGATACCCCTGTAGGGCTCGCCGATCCACCGCCTGTAACGTTGATCTGAACGCACGACCTAAGGGCCAAGAGATGTCAGCGGCTACATAAGGTTTAGTGCTTTGCAACGTACATGTAGAATTGAGCGCCAGGATACGTGCTTGCCACATGCAGACCAATGGTTTCGCCTCGAAGAAGATAAGCTCCAGGAGCGATGTTCGATGGAACCTTGAATGTGTATTTTCCATCAGACTTGGGAGACGACCACGTCGAACCACTGATCAATCCCTCTTGGGAGATCTGAAAATAAAATCGTGTGAGTGGGATTCCGATCGCCACCGGTGTCCCGTTTACGCCTACCTTGAACCATTTCAAGCCCGTAATGGTGCTTGTCTTGGCATCGCTCACTTTGGCCAAGTAGATTAGGTTCGGGCCGGGGTGTGCGCCTTGGTCCCACTGCACAGTGACCGTAGCACCCGCAGGAACGGTTGTCACACCCGAGGCTGGGACGCTTCCGTTGACGTTACAAATGATGTTGTTGGAAGTAACGTCGGTCACGGGTGAGTTGTTGGGAGGAAGCCTGTAATAGGTGTATCAGAGCCTCATTGTAATAATCGAATTTCGATAGCACCAACCTGACGCTGTTGGTGGCGAAGGAACCGCCGTTGACGCTAATCGCGGTAAGGCGAACATGGGCCAGAGCAGTTCCGGCACAAGCAAGAGCGCAAAGGACGGCAGAGGAACGCATTGTAGGTACGGATGGACGAATTAGAGTGTTTCCCTCGTATATATACTTACCTCGCGGAGATAAAACGGACATTCACAATCCGACAACGCTCCTTTGCATCATGTGTTCTTGTTGCTAATATAGTCGTCGATACAGTCATGACTTAAATTATAGCTGGCAAGGCGGCATTTTCGCGGTCCAGCATCGTGCATCGCGGAATAAACTTGACGTGACATAAGCCGAACAATTGAGTTAGCCTTCACCAAGCGAACTGACCCCGATATGCAGATCGACGCCGAGCATCCTCCGAAGTACCGGCTTCTATATGAGCTATAGATGGCAGAAATAATAGAGTTTTCGAGTGCGGAATCGGTTAGGTCTTAATTACACATGTCTGGGTATTGCACCCGGGAACTGCTGGCGTTTTCAAAATATTCATTCACAATCAAATCTAGCTCACCAGGTCTATGCATACAACCGACTATATACCGTACATCGCTTTCGCATTTTCTCTCGCAACGCGCATAACCTCTTCTGCCGTCCATGGAAGCTTGGTACTGTTCTCATTCGCCTCTTCCGAAGGTCCAGATTCTACATCCTGGATCACCTGTTCTGCAAGGCCCTGATTTGCGACTGTAGCGACGAACTCGGCAGTCCATGGGATCATTCCAGTATGACAGAGTGGCATTCTAACGCCCCAGCGGGTGCCAATTATTAGAAAATGCACACGAGAAGAATCGACAAGGGCTTACCGAGCATTCGACTTGAGCCCAAACGCCTTTTGTTGCACGCTTGTCAAGTTGGACGGTACCATGTAAGGCGCGTCGGTTTCAAGGACGATTCGAAGTGCTTTAGGATCCGATGGATTGGATTTGACAAGATTTCGCACTACTTGTGCCGTGTTCAAGTTTGTTGCATATGTTATTACACCTATAAAGAGATGAGGACGATCGATGGAGCGGTTGGAGATATCTAGTGAACTACACGAACCCGTTATTCCGATGTATAGATTTGGAAAGTAAGCAAGGAGGCGTTCGGCAAGGTCTACTGCATCAGTAAAGCAGTGTATGTGTATCTTTGAGAGTGAATTTCTCAGTGACATAAGGGGGAAGAACCCAAGTACGGGCGCACCTTCCATTCTTTGGGTACATGCGTCGTCAAAATCTCGTATATATCGTCATTTGCCTCTCGTGTGTGGATGGTTAATGGTTTCCCGAGTTCCACTGCACATCTGAAGCTCAAGTGTCAGCCACACTCCAAGGGAAAAGTTCTAGGGAGTATACTGACTTGAGCTGTCGAATAAGAACTTCTCTTTGGATTTCTCTAGGGGAGTTGTCGTAGTGATAGTCTAGACCGATTTCGCCCCATCCTACGTTTCGCGGATGTTTCATGGCTTCTTTACTATAAATTGAAGCATATTAGGCATAAGAAGAGAGTTTCAGAGTCCGGGAAATTCACACTCACATTTCTGCCTCTACTTCATCGTTATAGTTCCTAGCCTCGTGTCTGCCTCTTTCCTTCAGCACGATCGGTAACAAGTTAAGTGCGCTAGACCGCTTACGGATGTACGCCTGTATGTTTAAAATGAGTTTTCGAGCAAACCAAGTTCG